GATGCCACACCCTCTGCTTTGCCCGAGCCTCCACCCTCGGGGACCTCATTGACTCCCTCACCCTTGCCTCAGCGAGGCCGACACCCCCCAGGACACCGCCTTTCAGTGTCCCGTAAGGGACGGGGACACAGGCGTCGGGCTGTGTGGTCCCCTCCTGCTCCCTCCTCCCTCTCCCCTGCGGCCCCTCCGGCCGCTGCCCGTCACCTGCCTGGGCTCCCTCGGGCTCCCCTTTGTCCCCCTTCCGTTCCTGTCTGGTCTCCCCTGTCGGCTCCTCCTCCTTTACTTCCGACTGTGTTTGCTCCTTGTCCCTTTGTTCCTCCTCTGTGCACTCCTGGCCCCTTCATGTCGCCTGTGGGTGTTCCTGTTGTGTCTCCCTTCTCTGTTTGCCTGTCTGCCTTTCCTGTCCTTTGTCGGGTCTTGTCCTTCTTCTCGTCCCTGTTTCTGTTTTGTGTCTCGGTCCTGTTTCCAGTGTCTCGTTGATGTTTTGCTTTTGTTTTCCAGGTTTTGGGCCCCTCGTCTCGTCCGTCGCCGCCCCTCGGGCGCGCCCGGTGTGCGCGCCTTTGAGAGGGGTTATGTCACGATCAGCTCCGAACGATCCTCATGTGTGCCACACCCCCTCATTACCTCATGTTACTTCCTGATTGTTCCCACCTATGTCTAGTTAATTCCAACCTGTCCTGTTTATTTAGTCCGAGTCTGTCAGTTTTCCCCAGATCTGTCATCGTCAACACTGCGTGTGAGTACCTATCTTGTCGGTTTGTCCGTAATAAAACCCTGTTCTTCCGCTCAACCTGGCTGCTCTCGCCTCTCTCACCTGCTCGTCACTCGCCGATCGTGACAGGTACCTCAAAACTGAAATTTAATCCGTTCAGAACTGTTGTGAATTTAATAAGTTGTGATAGAATTTTCCCCATAAGAAATAATGGAAAACCATTTAATTGGTTTCTGGCCCCCCAAAAATGCATCTAAATGTTTTTTTTAGCATTTAAACATAAAATTAACTGGATAAAACAAGAAGAGCATATACTGTACTAAACACATCTAAGCACATTTATCAAAACAGTAATTTGTAAAGTAAGAAAATAAATGTATCCAAACAATGTGTAAAGTAAAAAAAAAAACAATGCGTCCTGCCCCGATCGTCCGCTCCTTCCGTGTGTCACGCCCCCTCGTTAACCTCGTGTGGAATCCCCGTGTGATCAGTTGTTTCTGGTTGTTGTCATTAGTCCTCTGTATTTCGTCCGCATTTCAGTTTGTTTACCCAGCCCGGTCATTGTATTGTCCGTCTGCGTTTTGCCTGCCTTACCTGTAATTAAACCCCGTATTTCCCGATACCCTGAGGTCTGCGTCTTTGTCTCCGTTCTGTCCCGGCATGGCACGACAATATTATTATAATTAAATGTATTAATGGTTTATTTTTAATATTAAAATTATTAATAAGGAATCTTTACTTTAAAATGTCTTATTATATAATAATATTTACTGTTACTGTCTATCAATGTCTAAATGTATTTTTACTGTCCATATGTATTCAGCTAGTGTAAACACGCACAATGCTATCACAGTGAATGCGAGGCTTAGACTGAAGCATTACCCTATGTTTCCGCCAAGAGACGTGCCCCGTGACTGATTTCTGGGCGTGTACAAGTTCTTAGGTCGGTGTTCACGGTTTGACTTCTGAGATTCAGATCGAGTTCTACATAATTTTTTTCCGAACTGGTTGGTTCGACTTTTAAGAAATTTGAGTTCTAATGAGTTTGAGAACTGAGGTACCACTGTACATGGCTGGGGTTACCCTGAGGAGAGGTTTGGGAACTGAAGCAGTGCAACTCAGTTTAGAACATTATTCAACAGTTTTGGAAACAGGATATATATGCAAAATAGGCTCTAAATATGTAGTTTTCCTAGTGATGGAGTGAGAAAGAAAAGAAAAAGATCGGCAGACTAGTCCACACAGACCGCTGTTGTGCTCACTGTGGAAAGAATTATCAAAAAGTGATTTCAGTACAGAAAAATGCTTGTTAGCAATTGTGTGAAAAACAATATAAAAGGCAAATTGTCACATTCTAAGCGATGCATAGAAAATGTGTTTAGTAAATAGCCATTAGAAAATCCATCCGTAAACTTTTTAAACATTGCAAAAGTTTTTGTTTGAATAAAACTTGCTAACTTCCATTGGTCTTATGTGCTGTTGCGCAGAAAAAATCTAATTATAGGATGTTTTTAGTGTTTAACATAAAATAAAAAAAAAGATATTTTTCCCTGTTGTTCTTTTTCCAATTACACTCCTTATTCTCAAGTCTGTCATGGATTTTTTTAAATATATAAAATTACTGTCATCTAAGTGAGGCAAGCATGTACAATGTAACTAGTTTCCTTCCCTTGATTTTATAGCAAAAAAAATGTTTTGCTATGACATTTCACTTATGAATAAGCCTAAATTAAAAACAGAATATTGTAAGCATGAAGCAATACTTAAATAATAAATTAATAATAAACATTTAAGTCAGAGCGATGATGGGCATTGAGAAACAGAACAGTTGAAAATATTTTAATGGAAAGTTGCATAAATGAATATACAGTGCAAAAGTCTTAGGCAGTCACAGAAAATGATGTTGAAATGATCTTCATGTTGGTGTAAAATTAAGTGTCTCAGCCATTTCAGAAGCTATGCTAAACAGTATGTGCAGTAACAATGCAATACACCCAGACATTTTTTGACTCAACCACTAGCACACCTTATTTGGCCAATCAATACCTAATCAAATTATTTAACTACTTCAATTAATTAATTGAGCTGATGATGAATTCAACAAACAGGTGGGGTGGCCCTAAGGAGAGGTTTGGGAACTGAAGTGGTATTCTTCTTGCCATCCTATACCCATAACTTTTTGGAGAACAGAAGAAATTCCGGTTAATTTTTATTGTGCTACTGTTCATTTGCATGCGCTCTACTGTTAAATTGTATTTTATTATTTTTTTAATATTATTATTATTATATGAGCAAATATACACATTATATATATTATATATATAAAATGCTTTAAACATTTTCTTGGACTGCCTAAGACTTCTGCACGGTACTGTATAAATGAATGAATTATGAAATAATTTGTCAATCTATTTGGGTAAGTACATAGCATTTTCTGTTAATCAGTATATTAATTAAATTAGCATACTAGCTGCCAGCAGAGAAAAAAAATCAAACTATTAGTTTAAGGAGTAAAGGTAAAAAATAAAGGGAATAAATAAATCAAAATATTGGAAACACATTTGTAGAAAAAACTTGATTATTAATGATAAGAATTAGCCAGACTTCCCATTGTGTGTTTTCCCAGCTTAGCTATGAAGTGAATGACATGGATGATAAAGGTAAAAAGTGATCACTGTGACCCTGTAACTGTACATTACAATGGCTGTCTTTCATAGTGTCATCTGTCCATCAGTATTTCCTAGTTTAATGCATGATTGCAGTCAGAGTGGGCTCACCTATCCCCTCTTCTGCCTGCCTGCACCCCGCATGCTGTCAGGTTTCGTTTCGCACTGTTACTTCATTGCCAGGAGACGTCCTGAGCTGAATTATCATCAGCAGAAGGAGATTCCAGAGACAGAGCCTGAGGCGCTTCGTAATGGGCCAGCTGGTCCTGGATCTCTACATCGAGACCAGCTGCTCCTACGGAATTTGAACTACAATCCCCCCCTGCTGGTCAAATGGAAGCAGTACAGGTAGGAGCTTTGTTTCAGTGTTAGTCAACTACAGGTGACTTACAGTACCATGGAATTAGTACAGTATACAGCATACTGTACAGTATATGTACAGTACACTTTAACATATACTGTACATTTAAAAGTGTATTTGACATAAATGTTGCAGCTGAAACATGGATAGAAAATGAATACCTTTTTACATATTTCTGCTTGCTTCCTTTCTGAAGGCGATATTACTAGTCTCCAATCAGCTTTGATGTTATTGGATATATTGATATAAATTCTTAGCTCCCTGGATGACTGCTTGCTTGAGGACACCCTCTATGATGATGGCTATTCTCTATGGCGAGCTGACAGCTGTATGGTCATGCTCGATTGCTTAAATGGCTCTTATGCTTGGAGGACAACCTGCTTTCTACCATTTTTCAGTTTAATCGTTTCATCTTTTGCGTCATACCTGCCCCATTCATGCCATGATACATCAACTCTCAGAACAAACTCACTCGCAGAGTTAACTGCCTTTCTTATAAACCACATATGAGAACAACGGAACCTTCAGTTACGGACAACTAATGGCATGCATGCTTTGCCTGTCTGGAGAATAGGGTTTTTGGCTATTTCTGGGATAAAAACCTGAAATTTATTCTTGATATCTATGACTGGCTAGTTTCACCATCCTTATGCTTTTTATTCTATTTTAAAACATGCTGCACAAAATTTATAATTCAAATAGCATTTGAAGGCTTGACGAGCCAGCATATGTAAGATGTTAATGTGTCATACTCTGTTTTAAACTCCTATTACCACAGCAGGTAATGTCCAAATCCATTCAGATCAGACTTTATGACTCATCTTTCTGAAACAACACACACACACACGCACGCACGCACACACACTTATATCCATATCTTTGTGAGGATTTACGGGCAAAAGCCTAATCCCAATGACCCAATCCCAAGACCGTTTGCACTTCAATTGCACTTACTGCAATTATTCTTCAGTAATAACTGTTTTGTTGTATATTGGTTTTCCAGAATACATAATAATCGTATAATAGCCTATCTCTGATGAGCTCCATAAAAGCACTGGTTCGTCTTCTCCTCTGCCTGTAACTGGGTACTTTCCCCACAGTCTAAATCCAAGCATAAATCTATGCTTCATATTGCTTCTGTTTAATTTACCCAGTAGGATTAAAACAAAATAAAACACATATAAATATATTTTCAGAACATGAATTCCTCGCCGTGATAAAAAAAAATCTGTTCATTTTAAATTAAATTGCAGTGATACGTAGGAGTCTAAGTTTAGATCACTCGTGGAGCGCATTGGCTCTCTGCGTGTCCGTTTAGGTGACGGACAGTCACAAGTCACCTGCTGTGCATGCGAAATTTTACAGGGACGGATTAAAAATATCGAAGTACTTAAGCTTACTGAAGCTATACGTTCACGTTTTATCAAAACAATAAGGAATTTTGGGCATTCTGAATCCAGTTTCATTGAAATCAGAACAATTGCGCTTGTTTGTGGCGAAGTTTTGAGGAAAGCCGCGGTGTATACTGGTGACTGTAGCCGGGTCTCGAAGTGACCAACCAAGGGAGGAGTTTCACGATGGCTGGGTAGGCGAAGCTTATATCCTTTTCGCAATATCAGTACAGCATGCAGTAGAATAATAATGATGACAAATTGTATTTACTTGGTTATTTAGGGTTAAAAGTGAACTATTCATGCTATGCCTTTAATGACCAAAATTGTCTTAAACTTTTCCTGTGCATATGTCAGTAGTGCATTTTATATGCTTGTTCTATGAATCACGCTTTTGTCACATGCATTTGACCTGTAAGTGGTCAGCAGTTTGCTCGCTAAAGGTAGAGTTGCACGCTTACTCCAACCTCAGCGCCTTTCATCATGTGTATTTGGAAAATAGTATCGATACATCAAAAACATAACCATGTCGAGTTAAACCTCGTTCATGGCACTCAGCTTGACAACGCGTGTGACCGTGACAATGCGCGCCTTACAAACAGGCAGGCTTCCCTTGAACACTACAAGGCAGGGATGTTACTGAGCGGCGTGGGGGACGCCCTGGGCTACCGGAACCAGCTGTGGGAGTACAACGAATCGGGGCCCGCCATTCACCAGGTCTGTCTCTGTGGAGCCCTATATTTCTTAGTAAAGGTTTTTTTGCAGGTATATTCCCTGTTCTTTGAGCAGAAGTTTGTTTATTTACATTTATTTAGCAGACATTTATTTAGCAGCATACATTTGCGAAAGCAGGGCCGGCCAGTCACTAGTGAAATCACTCTACCAACCACAGGATTTGTCCTAACCCACAGAATCACCAAGAAATATTTCTTAGTGGCATTGCATAGAACTGTTAATCACAATGGAAGTTAACATAATACATCATGGGTTAAACTTCACTGCTCCCCATCCACTGAAAATAATGTTGCTGATCATTCCTGTTCTTGGGGTTGTCAGCTGTCCCTTATAATGCAGGATCATTCTGTATAATACCGGACGCAGCGGTTTATTTTCCAATACGGGGCAATCCCATATTATAAGGGACGAGTGGCAACCTTACCTCTTCTTATACTGGCTGTTCTTAGTGAAGCTTTAGCAGTAAATATACCATGATTACAAAATGCTCAGGAGCTGCAGGAGATGGGTGGCCTCCAGGACATTTCTGTTGAGCTTCCTGATTGGCCGGTCAGTGATGACACCGTCTTGCACCTAGCAACTGCAGAGGCTCTTGCAAGTGGTGAGCATTCTGTTCACTTATCTATCCTTTTTAAAATAATTGTTATAGTTGTGGTGAACTTGGAGCTTATCTCAGGAAACACAAGCAGAAGTCAATAGATAGGCCAAGCCCATCCAACAGTGCCAACGGCAGGACAAGCCTGGCAGAGGGCACATGGGGAGGGTTGTTGGATAAGCAGATGATCTGTAGCCATGCCCATGGGAGAGATCAGGCTTATTTGTTTTAAAAGAATGATGCCATCCAATCACATATTATTGTAAACAGGAAGCGTGTATAAGTTAAGACATTTTATCAAATCGAGTTTTTCCTTGTGGGGATTGAATAAATGTCCCCACATGCTAAAACGTTACAGTTTTTTTATCACATTTTGGGGACATTTGGTCCATTTCGTATATACAAACACGCACATAGTCATACACTCAGTAAGGTGGGAATGAATGACAGTGGGAGGAAACTGGAGGACTCAGAGGAGAGAACATTCATTTTCGTGCTCACATGTTGAGATTTGGTCAAATAATGTATAAATCAATTTACTTTATAATGCCTTTCAGGAAAGAAGGGGGAAGAGCTCCTGCATGAGGTTGCGTTCCGCTATATAGAAGGCATGAAAGACATGGATGGCAGGAAGCCTGGACCTTCAAGTGTCTGGGGTAAGAAAACACAAATATGCATCCATCTGTGCTTGGTTTAGAGTCTGTCACAGCTGCTGCATAACATTCACTACCATCACTGTATATGTACTACATGTCCATACGAGCATACTGTAGCTTGTAAATAATGTTAAGTGATGATAAACCCAATATATGGAATTATTCACTCTCTGTTCCCAGGGGTGTCCCAGTTGAGACCAGGTGCTGCAGGGGGGTACAGAGTGCCCTATAACCCCGAGGGAACTGGCTGTGGGGCTGCCATGAGGTCTATGTGTATTGGTCTTAGGTATGGGCATGATTAAAATGTAGTCAGTGTTTGGAGCAGGGAGTTAGGGTTCTGTGCCTGTGATTGCAAGGTTGCTGGTTCAAATCTTAGAGTCGGCAGAGTGATGTTACTCTTGGACCTGTTTTACTACAGTCACCTTCTATGTAGTTTTTTAAGAATCCTTCTCTTTTCTCTGTACATAGGTACCCACACCCAGAGCAGCTCTCAACTTTAGTCTCTGTTGCCGTAGAAACTGGAAGGATGACTCACCCACATCCCACCGGCTTCCTCGGAGCGATAGCATCTGCCCTCTTCACTTCATATGCCGTCCAGCGCCGGCCAATCATGAGCTGGGGGCTGGGGCTGGTGAATGAGGCCTGCCCCATTGCCAGGAGTTTCATCCAGTCACAGAACTACGCTGTGGAGGAGACCGAGAGGGACTGGGGCTACTTCACAGAGAAGTGGAAATGGTGAGGAAAGCCATGCAGAGGCTGGATGGACAAGACATGTCCAGACAAGATAATATATAACCAGATAAGACAACAATAAAGATAAGATTAAAATGATAAGATGAGCTAAGCTAAAGATAAGTATAAGGATGAGATAAGATACAATAACGGCACTTTTCCACTGCCACCAAGAACCGAGCTGTACTTGAACCTTACTGTGAACTAGGGCTGCACGATTTATTGATTTAAAATCGAAATCGCGATTTTAAACAATGTGATTAGCAACTCGCAAAAATCGCGATTTAAGATATACATTATACAGCACGTTGGACCCATGGTTTAAAACTGCTGTTAGAATAGTTTTACAAATTCATGCCGTGCTCCCTGTGTGACAGTCATTCTCACAAGCGCCGTGCTTCTCACATGCCAGTCATGCTCACCAATCAGAAGTGGCCCAAGAAGGCGTATAGGCCCACAAACAGCAAACACGTGAAACCCAAGGAAAATGTTACATTCGCGGTGCGGAAAAATACTGATTCCCCTACTGAGCTATAAGTGAATTGCCTTCCTATCTCATGGTCCGAGATTGTTTCAGGAAGGTCCTATCATCAATAGAACCGGCGAGCTCCTTTTAAACAACAGCTGCGATATACTTCAGCGTATCATACCTTTGGTTTTTGTTAATAGGCAATAGCATTAGTATAACACTAACCCATCAAAACAACGAGACAGTCAGTAAAGATCTCACAGCAGCGGAGTCGGTGACCTCCAAAAAAGCCGTAAAACCCACAATACAGTCGTGTTTATGTCATATGTTTTTGTGCTTATTAAATTTAAGTGTTTCCAAAGATTAATCCCACAACAGTAATAAAATAAAAGTCTTGCTTTAACATAAATACTAAAAGAATAGATTGCTTTAATCGCTATTACAGTTGGGTATGAGCACGCCGTCTTATTTAGAAAACATACAAAATGAGACGCATATAATGTTTAATCATTAGTTTTGTATTTGTCCGAGTAACAAAGTGTGATTTTCTCTGTTCTGCACACACATTTACATGTATGTAAGTTTTATTACTTTGTAAATAGTCTGTAGGGTTCGCAAACTGCCTTAACGTTTTTGATGCAGCTAACTTTAAGTTCAGAATGGAATATAGATTTGCCGTAAGATTTCTTGCGTGAGAGTCTGAAAGAGTTTGCAACCATGAACACGTACATTTTTTGTTTCACTTGAATTGATTTGTATAGAAAATAACGTATACAGTTGTTAAAAAGCGGAAACTTCGACCAACATGAAATCACCAATAAACGACTAATTATTTTTATTAAACATTTTATAAAATGCATACTATGTTTTAAAATTTCCAGCTTTACAGTTTCAGGATAGAACAGCCACTCTAGCTGTTATGAACATTACGGTTTTTTGAGTGTTATTAGTGTTAATAACACCAGCTAACAACACAATAGTGCAAACAAAAGGGCTGCATACACCGAAATTGTTCTTGCTTGTTCATTGGCGTGGGAAAAGGCGGTTCTAGTGTTATTAGGAGAGTATTAAGCGTTACCTGCAAGATCACTATTTTTCTTTTTGCTGCAATTGTTTTCATTATTACTTCATTTAACTTGACACATCACATCTTTTAATTCTCATCCTTGCATTAGAATATAGACCAGTTAATACTGATGGTATCTCATGCTGCATCATATGTTTTAAAATTACTACATACTGAATATTGAAATTAAGCTTGACATAGAAAAAAAAAATCACAAATCAAATCGTAATCGCAATTTCTGTCAGAAAAATCGCAATTCGATATTTTCCCCAAATCAGAACTCCGGATCAAATCCTAAAAAGTTCGAGTTGTGATCGAATTTTCCCCATAAGAAATAATGGAAAACCAATTACAGTGGTACCTCGGTTCTCGAACTTAATCCCTTCTGGACTCCGGATCGAATCCTAAAAAGTGTGAGTTCTGATTGAATTTTTCCCATAAGAAATAATGGAAAACCAATTAATTGGTTCCCAGCCCCCCAAAAATACACCTAAATATGTTTTTTTTTTTTTAGCATTTAAACACAAAATGAACTGGATAAAACAAGAAGAGCATATACTGTACTAAACACATCTAAGCATATTTATCAAAACAGTAATTTGTAAAGTAAGAAAATAGATGTATCCAAACAATGTGTAAAGTAAAAAAAAACAATGTGTCCTGCCCCGATCGTCTGCTCCTTCCGTGTGCCACGCCCCCTCTTTAACCCCGTGTGGAATCCCGTGTGATCAGCTGTTTCTAGTTGTTTTCATTAGCCCTCTGTATTTCATCCGCGTTTCAGTTTCTTTCCCCAGTCCGGTCATTGTATTGTCCGTCTGCGTTTTGCCTGCCTTACCTGTAATTAAACCACGTATTCCTCGATACCCTGACGTCTGCGTCTTTGTCTCCGTTCTGTCCCCGCTCGGCACAACAATATTATTATAATTAAACATATTAATGGTTTATTAATAATATTAAAATAATGAATAAGAAATCTTTATTTTAAAATGTATTTCATTATATAATAATAATTACGGTTACTGTCTGTCATTGTCTAAGTGTATTTTTACTGTCTAAATATATGTATTCAGCTAGTGTAAACATGCACGGTGCTATCACAGCAAATGCGAGGCTGAGACTGAAGCTTTACCCTTTGTTTCCACTGAAAGACGTGCCGCGTGACTCATTTCCCCGCTCATACAAGTTTGACTTCGGCGTTCACGGTTTGACTTCTGAGATTCAGATCGAGCTCCAAGTATTTTTTTTTTTAACTGGTTGGTTCGACTTTTAAGAAATTCGAGTTCTAATGAGTTTGAGAACTGAGGTTCCACTGTATTATATTATATATAGGGCTGTCAAAAATAACGCGTTAACGACGTTAATTATTTTTTTGTTGTTAATTACGTCATTTTTTTTAACGCATTTCACGCATGCGCAATGTGACGAATTATTTGTCAGGAAAGTGGTTGGGGAGCTAAAGGCGAGATGGAGCAAGGTGGGCCTATGGACGGATTTAAATATAAAAAGAATGATGATGGTACAGTTAACAAGTACAAGGTTTTTTGCAAGATTTGTAACAAGGAATTTCAATTTCACCGGAGCTGTTCAAGCTTGAGGTAGCATGTCAACGCCAAACATGCGAATGCTGGGCCGTCAAGTGCAGCAAGTGGTTTGCGCCAGACCATGCTGGATTTTCGCAGACCATTAACACAATCAACCTCAGATAATTTGACCGACACAATACCAAAATGGATTGCAAAGGATTGTAGAGCCATTAGCATTGTAGAAGACTCAGGCTTCATGGATGTTTTGCAAGTGGCGTCTCAAGACTCATCCTATAAGCCACCGTCAAGAGACACAGTTATGACGAAAATCCACAAGCTCTATGAAAACGAAAAAGAAAAAAGGAAAGAGGTCTTGGCTCAAGTAAATTATATCGCCCTGACAGGAGACCATTGGACATCAGTGAGTAACAACAACTACGTCGTAACTGCACATTACATCAGTGACACGTGGGAACTGAAGTCTTTTGCGCTGACTATATTAAAAACTGAGGAGCATCATTTTGCGGAGGCTTGTAAAGAACAGTTCCTGTCTGTTGCACGTAAGTGGGACATCGAGGGCAAAACGACAAGCATTGGGACTGACAGTGCACGCAACATGGTTGCCGCAATTCGACTTACACGCTATGAACACATGAACTGTGTCGCTCACATGCTGCAGAGAAGTGTCACCGTGAGTCTTGCTGACAGCGGCTTTGTGAATGCTTTGGTCAAGGCTTGCAAAGTTGTCGGTCATTTTAAGCACAGCCCAGCAAATGCTGCGGAGCTTCAAGCACAACAAGTCAGCCTGGGAAAGAAGCAAGAGCCATTGATCCAGGATGTTCCAACACGTTGGAATTCGACACTGGAAATGGTCAAGCGCTTGAGCAGCAATAAAGAGGCTGTCATCGCAGCCCTGGACAATCAGGAGCACAAACTCGTTTTGCCGACCGCAGCAGAGTGGGATAAACAGCAGAGGCTGGAGACACTTTTAGAGCCATGCAGGTAAATCAGTCTGTAGCCTATCAAATAACATTACCTTGATTATTTTCTGGAATAAATTAAACCAAGTTAAATATCAATAACATGTATGTATGTAAAAAATAATGATAATAATAATAATAATAATAATAGTAATAATATGTATATGTTGCTAACCTCTGTTCTAATATTACACTGTTTCTGTGTGTGTGTGTGTGTGTGTGTGTAGGTATGTAACTGAGCTCCTGGGTGGGAAGGCCTATGTCTCCTGTTCTGTGGTACTACCCTCTCTCTGCCACTTGCGTCTCAAGATGGAAGCCTGTGATGAGGACCCTGCATACAGTATGTGGTGAGATTCAAGACCAAGTTCAAGGAGGACCTAGCATCCCGTCAAGAACAGCTCAACAATGCATGGCTCCAGATTGCTACAGTATTGGATCCTCGTTTCAAAGACTTGAAATGCCTGCCCAAGACAGACAGGGAAGAGGTGTGGACCACACTTGAAGGAATGCTGCAACAAGAATCACCCAGAAAGTCTTCACAGACACATGATGATGGGCCACCCAGTAAGAAAATCAGCCTTCTGCAAATGTGCTCAGATTCAGAACCAGAAGATGAAGAGGTCCAACCTGCCATACACAGGTACAGAGCAGAGCCCACCATTAAATTGGAGGACTGCCCCTTGAGGAGGTGGGCATCTCATTCAGGAGCCCATGAGAAGCTGGCCTCACTAGCTCACAAATATCTAGCCACTCCTGCAACCACTGTTCCCTGTGAACGACTTTTCTCAGTTGCAGGTCACATTGTGAACAAGAAAAGGTCAGCTTTACTTTTTGGAAAATGTGAACAAGTTAGTTTGCCTCAGCAACTGGCTGAAAGATGATAAAGCTCAGTAGATTTGAAAGGTGATGTGCAAACAAAAAGACCAGTTTCAGTGCAACATGTTATAGTAGTTAGGCTTGCTTGAGCAACTGGATTAAAGAATGGAGGTAAAGGTAAAAGATTGTTCATTTGGTTTGATTCACAAAAACGCAACAGATGACTCAAATTGTGCATGATAAAAATGTGGTAGGCCACTGTTATGATTTGACTACCTTTATTGCTTTCTGTTCAATTGAATACTGTAAATTGTACATCCTGGTTAAGAGGAATGCCAAAGAGGACATTGCAAAGACAAATATTATGGTGTGTAGTATGTTTCAGCTTGATTTAAAACACCATTATTTGGCTGTGTTAATAAACAGATATAATATGAAAATTATGTATCTGTGTCCTGTTATTTATCTTTTGGTATGCATTTCAGAAAAAAAAAATGGTTAGGATTCAGGTGTAGTTGCAAATAGTGATTAATCCTGATTAATCCACTGAAAATTCTGATTAATCTGATTAAAAATTTTTATCATTTGACAGCCCTAATTATATATAAATGATTACTCGATGAATTGTCAGATTAATCGGTAAATTACGCGATTATTAATATAATCAGTAGTGACAGCCCCAGATGTAACTATCATATAAATCAAAATCAACATAATAATTAAGTTTCATGAGTTCCCCTGTCAAATATAACCTTTTGAGCTCACAGTACTATGTAGGCTACCCCTCCAGTATATGATGGTTTGTTTGATTTTAAGATAGGGTTGCAAATGGGTGTAAACTTTCTGGTAAATTTCTGGAAACGTTCCATGGGAGGTCTGGTTGCAAAGGGGTGGAACATTTCCAGAAACCCCATAAACTTTCCATGGGAAATTAAGTTGGGTAATTTTGGAAATATCGAACCCGATGGAACTTTCCGCGAACTGTCAGATACGGCAAAGAAAGCGAACTGGATGAATAATACAACATGGAATATGACTTATAAGCAGTGCATTTTGATGCAGATGCTTATTTTGGGTGATTTTATGCACACATAATTACTCACAAGCACTTAGTTACACGATATCACTATCAGTGCCATCAGGGGGCAGCACCTGACTCGGTGGGTTAAGCCTGTGTGCCTGTGATCAGAAGGTCACCAGTTTGAACCCAGCTTCGGTACATTTGCGGCCCTTAACCCACAGCTCTCTGGGTGCGTAACAGGTGGCTGCCATCAGAAATGTAAGCTAGAATGATAAACTAAAGCTGTGCAATGGAAGCAGAAGAAAAGTATTCAATTCAATTAAATTTATACAATTTAATTTTATTTGTATAGTGCATTTTCACAACATTACATTGTCTCAAAGCGCTTTACATCATCCCTGCCCAAAGCCCCTGGTGAGCAACTTAACAGGCGTTGGGACATATTCACACAATTGTGGGTGGCATCAGGTGGTCAGAATTAAACTTGCGGAATAAATGGGGGATAACAAATTATTGTTATTATGTTCAATAAAACTCCAGCATAAATTCTAAGATAAATTTAATAGATCATATATTTATACCTGCAACCTCTTAAAATCTTTATTCCACCCTCATGCTACCCCATGTCAAACATCTTAGATAAGAACATAAGAACATAAGAAATTTACAAACGAGAGGAGGCCATTCGGCCCATCAAGCTCGTTTGGGGAGAACTTAAGTAATAGCTCAGAGTTGTTCAAATCTTATCTAGCTCTGATTTAAAGGAACCCATGGTTTTAGCTTCCACTACACTAGCAGGGATGTTGTCCGATGTTGTCAGAGATTTATCTGTGGATGGTGGTGTCATCTGCGAATTTGATTATACTGTTCATACTATGGCTGAGTATGCAGCCATAGATGAAGAGCGAGCAGAGTATTTCGCTGAGCACATGGTCTTGTGGGACACCGGTACTGAAGGTCAGACTGGAGCAGGTGCGTGTTCCTAACCATACATGCTGGGCTCTGTTTGACAAAAAGTCCATGATCCAGATACAGACTAAGGTACTGAGGCCCAGGCTCAGGAGTCTGGAGACCTGTTTGGCTGAGACCACTGTATTGAATGTCTCCTGATATATAGTGCTCAAAGAATATCGTGGGACACTTGCTTTATTCTATAAAAATGCTGCAAATTTATTGGTTTCAAAACAAAAGTCCATTGACAAGCAACGTTTAATGTATCTGCTTATATCTTCTTTTTTTTTTTTTTATTAAGTGTCATAATTTTTTTGATTTACTCCTTCAGTTGAGGTGGTTCGGGCATCTGTCTAGGATGCCTGCTGGACGGCTCCCTGGGGAGGTGTTTCGGGCATGTCCAGCCCGGAGGAGGCCCCGGGGCAGACCCAGGACACGCTGGAGAGATTTTATCTCTCGGCTGCCCTGGGAACACCTTGGGATTCCCCCAGAGGAGCTGGAGGAGGGGGCTGGCAAGAGTGAGGTCTGGGCATCCCTGCTTAGACTGCTGCCCCCGCAACTCAACCCCAGATAAGCGGCAGAGAATAGATGGATGGATGGGACTCTTTCAGTTCTGTTCTTGCCATTTTGCTAATTAATTAATTGCAATTGTAGTCATTGGGAGTACTATTTCAAAGGTGTTACTATATAAAACCCCCCAAGGTGACTGCTTATCAATGAACTTTTTTAAACTATAATTTGGGTTTCAGTTTAATACTAATTGAAATGAATCAGCTTAGAACTATTGGTTGTTTCTAATGTGATATATTTTTTAAAGTAGTGATTTTTGTTACAAAGCCAATAAATATGCAATATTTTTACAGAATTAAGAAAGCATCCCAAGACTCGTTGAGCACTGTATGTGTTCACTTGATGTACCTGGGTTAGGGCTGTATGGATGGCTATAGATCTATTGTTTTCCTTGTATGCAAACTGGGCTGATCAAGGTCTGGAGGGGAGGGAGGCTAGCTTTAATGTGAGCCAGTACCAGTCTTTCTAAACATTCTGAAATTACTGTGGTAAGGGCGTCTGGACAGTAATAGTTTAGGGAATTTACTGCAGTTTTCTTGGGTATTGGTAGAATGGTTGTTGATTTAAGGTAGGTTTGGATTGCTGACAGATACAGTATGCTGCTGAACTCTAAAATCAAAGGTTTAGAAACTGTCTTTCATTCTTTCACTCTCCACTGTCCTCCAATAAGGTACCTGGCAGAAAGAGGCCTGTTGTCTGGAGTGGGACCCATCTTCTGGCCTAATCCCTATGGACCTGAAGAGAGGGACCTGGCCTATAAGAGCTTCAGCCTGGCTGGTTGGGCAGGCCGCAGTGGGCATGATGCACCAATGATTGCACTGGATGCCCTGCTGGGGGCAGGGTCCGACTGGGCCGAGCTCATGAGTCGTGCGGGTTTTCATGGAGGTTAGAATCTACTTTCCCGTAATGTGGATTCCAAAATTATTGGTACCCTAAAGTGGAAATGCACAAAAAAATACTATAAATAATGCCAAGATGCAAAAAAATATTGTACTTTATTAATGTTTTAATGGAACCAACCAAACCAAAATCATACATTTATTAAAAAAGGGCACTGTTAAAAAAATCACCAAAAATAAGGTTTCATAATTATTGGCACCCTTGATTTATTGCTTGGTGCAACCACATCTGCAAGGATAACAGCATGGGGTCTTTTTCTGTACTGTTTGACAAGGTTAAGGCAAACATTTGGAGAGATTTAGGCCTTTTCAATATCAGTCACATTCTTGGGTTTGTGCACATCAGCTGCCCTCTTCTGTTTAGCCTGTGGGCTTTCCACGAGATTGGGGTGTGCCTACTGAGATGGCCGTTGCAGAATCTTGATTTTGTTGTCGCAGAATTTGTGTAAATTACAAGGTGTGCTTTGGGTCATTGTCTTGCTGTATTGTCGACTTATGGCCATGTCGGCCAGTCGTCAGCCATTAAGTCATTACAGTAAAATTCCATTATAGTGGACTCACTTATGACGGAAAATCGTAAGTCTGCTGGTCCCGGCCGTGCACCTTTAAGAACATGCAGAAAAAGCATTGGATATAGCGGACTCGCATATAACGGAATTTCGCTTATAACGGACAAACAATTTGGTTCCCAGGGCCGTTTAATGTATCTTTTAGCTGTAGTTTTGTTCGCTATAATGGACATGCAGGCTCCGCCTACAAGGCACGTGGCGTGCCGGTGATATCCAGCGCAGATACGTAGTCGAGATTATTAATAGTCACGCATCTGGTCAGGTAAAGTTGGATTACTGCATGTACAATATAATAATCTATACCACAAGTGTGTCTGCTGAGGTGTAGCATGAGTAAATGGTGTCCTGTAGTTGTGTTCTGGGAGTACAACAACTCTGGATATAACGGACTTTGGATATAATGGACTGTTTTGCCAGGTCCCTTGAAGTCCATTATAACTGGATTTTACTATATTCCTAAACAGTGGCCAGGACATCCATAATTAAAACATCTCAAAACATCACACAACATATTTCATTGTGGTGCCGTTCCTTGTATGTGTGTCAGTTTTGATGCCATACATGCTGATGCTGTTTTTGCAAATTGGCAGCACTTTTTGTCTTGAGGTCCGGAAAGGCTTCCTCCTTGAAACCCTACCAAAGGGCCAAAAAGGTTGCGGTAATAGAGGTGGTGTCTGATGGTGCTTTTTGAAACCTGGTGACCCCAAGTTGCCACCAAGGCCTGTGATCCTTTCGTGGTGATTCTTGGGGAGTTTTTGCTTCTCTCTCCATCCTCCATCTATCCTGGTGGGTAAAATGTGTTTGTATGCCTACCTGTCAGGTTTCCAACTGTCCCATACTCTACATTTCTCAGTAATTGCCCTGACAGTAAATCTTCTGTGGATTTTCTTGTAGCTGTTACCAGATTTATGAACATGTACGACTACTTGTCTCTTGTTTCTATAAGTAAAGTAATGAAAAGTTCCTTAAAATTTATATTAATTTCAATAATGTGAATTTCATTCCTGGTTTAAATTTGGTAGATTTACAATCATCTTTAGGGGTGCTATTAACTTTTTTTTTTAGATTTTTCATTAAATTAATAAATAATTTTGGTTGTTCTCACAGGAACATTAATAAACTACAATATTTTTTTGCAATTTTAATTTATCTCTGTAATGTTATTATTCTTATTATTATAATTCTGGAACGCACTGTATATGCCAAACTCGAATGAAAACGGACATTGACGTGGCCTCCCGTCCGGCAGGTGACAGTGACAGTACTGCCGTGATCGCCTGCTGCTGCTGGGGACTGTTGCACGGCACTGAGGGGGTCCCCGAGAGCAACTACAGCAAGCTGGAGTACAGGGAGAGGCTGGAGAGCAGTGCAGAGAGGCTGTACGCGCTGTCGCATTGAGAGCAGAGGCGCACAAAGGCCCCACCCAGGTCCTGGGCTCGCTGAAGGAGTGATAAACTACAGAAAGCTGATGACTTACCGTGACGATCTGCGAATAATCACACTTAACAATTTACAATGTGTTTTTGTAGTATAATGTAATTATTTTACAAAAAGACATTTTTGATTAATACTGTTAATATTATTACTTGATTAATATTATTTGTTGCTTTTCTAGTTGTTAAAGTCAGATAAAGCATCACAACCATGTACAAATCTCAATAATGTGCAGGAAATGAAAGGTGTTGATTTGTAAATGTAATGTGCACATGTTTTATTAACCATCTGTATCAATAATAAACTACAGTATTAGATGCTGAGTACTGGCCCTTACCTGATAATGCCCACAAGTAGTAGCAGTTGAGTAATGATGAGCCTGAAGACAGTTGAGAGCCGAATAAATGATGACATGCTCACCTCCAAAGATTTCACAGTATGCAAAGGTACTTGTACACTTTTTGAGTATGTTATTTATATGATGTCATTTAACAGAGGCAGGTATATATTTGCATGATGCAAATGTTTCGTGCAAATATTTTACAGTACTTTTGCGTAAAGCATTTTATTACATTTTCTTTCCTTTCCTGAACACAAACAGACTTGCTCTGGAATTGTACAATGACAATAAAATTGATCTGAATTCAGGGACATGAACAGAGAGGACACAGATCAGATAATGAAGAAGAATATGCAGTACAAGGGTACAATCTCAACACCCAAAGTTACAGTCTGGCTCTAAACTTAAAGGCTTACAGTACCTTGTTACCTAAAATACCTCACAAATAGGCTATAGTCAGGGTTTATTATTCTCCAAAAACATTGTCCATTTTAGTAACACCCTTATTTTTTTTATCAGTTTAGGAATTAATGATCAAGTTTTCATGTTGTACTTTAATTCCATTTCATTCCAGACCACATTAATAACAATCCACACTGCAAGGATTCTTATGAACATACATGACTTTAGACATTAGAACCAATGATTGTAACAGTTTCTGTTTCATTTGTGTTGTTTTATGCAATCATCCAGTACAGAGGCAATTTGAGTACTGATACAAATAGCATAGTACCAATAAGAAAAGTTCTAGAGTATAATAGCTGCATTTTATATTCAAACGTCATAATTCCTTCAATGACGATAATGTATTAAAATCATGAAATATGTAAAAAATGCCTTGACCAGGAGAGTATTGGGTGGTTCCAGATGAAGCCATGCTTCTCTAAAAGACCCTTGATCTCAATCGGGTGAGGGATGATCCTTGGTGCTGACCCTGCGTCATGAGCAGAAACTGATTTGCTATAACAAGCGGTTTACAATCAGTTCTATCTGCACTATCTATTAATTATGAATGAGGATGTGGATCATGTATTGACAACGCAATGTAAAGCAAGTGCAATTGTTACGTGCCGTAAGTGTTTTGGATGTGTTTACAGGACACCTCAGTCTTCTGCCTTAAGCTGCACTCGCCAGTTGCTGCTTCAGCCCGCCTCCCGGTTTCCGGCCACACCTCTTCCGCCCTCTGACCCTGGCTCTGTGTTCTGGTCGATGAGGATAAAGCCTGTTGATCACATCTAGCTGGAGCTCTTGCTCAAGTCTCTGTGTGCGTTGGTTTACTGTTTTCTGATTGACTTCTGTGTATGACTGTTTTGGTTTCTCGGTTTCTGACTTTCTGCTTCTAACTGGGAGTTAGATTTAGTCTTTGTCATTTTGTTTTCTCTTGTTTTCGTTACCTTTAGAGTTAGCTTAGTTTAGGACGTGTTCGTTAGCTGTTTTGTTTGTTATTTTGGCCTGGGTCACTCCCGAAGTTTGTTGCACCTTGTGTTTGTAAACGTGTCTGTGAATAAATATAAAAAACTACAAAAAAAGATCCCTTTGTTTCCTGTGTTCCCTTTTCCCATTCCCTGGTTGTCTCGTCTTCCCTTCTCCCTTTCCCTTACCTTTCTGTCAATCCTCAACCCTAGACTGGCGATCATAACAGAAATGGGGGCTCGTCCAGGATCCTTGCTTTTTTCTTGTTTCTGTCTGCTGTTTTCCAAGTACAATGGTACCTCTGTTCTCGAACTTCTTGAAAGTCGAACAAACCAATTTGACCTAGAACTCCATCTGAATATCAGAAGTCCAACCGTGAACGCTGACCTAGTATAAATTGTACACGCCAGGAAATGAGTCATACTACAATGTAATTCTTACTTGAATGATTTCTTCACAGACTGGACGATTAACCAAATAAAGCAACGCAACATTACAGTAACTAACAATAAATAAACCACTAACTTACGTGTACTATTAGACCATTTATGTAATTTATTTCAACTTTATTTTACCAGGTAAATTAACTGAAAACCAGTTCTCACTGCTTTACGTGATATTCAGGAGAAATAGCAGATTACGCATCGGAACTGCCTGGGATACAAACGTCATGCGTGTAACTAAACTCTTCAGCCAATAAGGGCAAAGGTGTGTCGTCACGGAGGCGGTTCCAGTTTGTGCAGCCGGGTGAGAGGTCGCAATGCATCTAACCATAATGCATTGCGTCAGGATCAGAATGCGTTGCTTTAAGCCAGCGATGTAAGCAAGTCGAACGCACCCAATGACCGGACTGGGGAAACAAAACTGAAACGCGGACTTAATACAGAGGACTAATGACAGCAACCAGAAACAGTTGATCACATGGGGATCCCACATGAGCTTAACGAGGGGGTGTGGCACACGGAATGAGCGGACGCTCGGGGCAGGACAGGGGTAATGTTGGGATAAGATCTTTATCGTTTTGGAAGCCATTAAGAAAAAAATGCTCTTCTTGTTTTATCCTGTTCATTTTGTGTTTAAATGCAAAAAAAGAAAAAAAAACATATTTAGGTGTAATTTTGGGGGGCTGGGAACCAATTAATTGGTTTTCCATTATTTCTTATGGGAAAAATTGATCAGAACTCGAACTTTTTAGGATTCGATCCGGAGTCCGGAACAGATTAAGTTCGAGAACGAGGTACCACTGTAGTCGGGAGCTTTGGTCTTATTTTTTCGTGTCTACCTTGCGGATTGTTTTGTGTGGGGGGGTGGTGTTAGTATTAATCATTATGGCCAAGTTCGACGTCATCGCTTTCACCCTTTTCCCCACGCTCGAGCAATTCAATAAGTGATGTAAGGATGATCTGCTAGCAATAGCAGACTTCTTTAATGTGGTTGTCCCCGCTGAAGCTTCTAAGCGGGCGATTAAGCAGGTCCTTTCAGATGAGCTGATTCAGCAGGGCATCCTGCCTGAGATGGGCGGCTCCTCGAGTGTTGCGTCAAGTCCTACCCATGTGTCCGCTGCAGCGGAAGCCGGCGGCGATGATCTTGGGACGGGTCTCCACATGGATGTCGGTGGTCCCTGCTCATCCAGGGAGGAGATCCTGCTCAGAGTTTAACTAAGGGAACTCAAGCTTGAGATCAAGAGGCAGGAGTACCAGGCGCAGCTTCTCCGTCTCAGGGCTGTGGAAATAGAGGCTGACAAGGAGGTGGAACTGCAATGGCTAAGCATGGGCGAACAAAAGCCGGTGCCACTTCCACGCAGGGTGCCAAAACCAGGTATGTCTCCACACTCCGCCCTGCCCGCCCAAGACGGGTCTGATGCCCCAGACGCTCCTCAAACTTGCCCACGATCTCCCCTGAGTTTGCCAATCCCTCAGGATGGGAGTAATTCTGGTTTCGATGTTAGTCGACATATTGGGCTTGTTCCAGTGTTTCCGGAAAATGAGGTGGACGCCTACTTTTCCATATTTGAGCACATTGCCATGACTTTAAACTGGCCTAGGCATCTAGAGTAGAGCCTAGATTATGACATAGTGAAGGCTATGGTCTTAAGGGCTTACGAACGTGTACCTGAGGCTTACCAGCAGTGTTTCCGGAAGCTTAATAAATCCCCTAGCCAGACCCATGGAGAATTCGCCAGAGAAAAGTTCACCTTGTTTGATAAATGGTGTATCGCCAGTGGTGTGTGTAACCTTGATCAGCTCAAGGAATTGATTTTGTTAGAATTGCTTAAAAACTGTGTCCCTGATTGCGTGGTGGTGTACTTAAATGAACATAAGGTAGCCTCCCTGACCGAAGCTGCCACCCTTGCAGACGAGTTCGTGCTCACTCATAAAACTGTGTTTACTCCATTACCCCGAAAAGCTCCACCCCGTCTGGTATCATCCTCCCCTGTGCCTACTTCTTCTCCACCACCTGCGAAGAAGCGTGAATGTTTTTACTGTCATGAGGTGGGTCATCTTATTTCGTTATTCCCAGCCCTTAAACGAAAGGAAGCCCCTGCTATGACTTAAAAGGTGCAGGTTGTAGCTGGTATAGACAGTGTTTTACCCCTATCGCAAGAGGTGGAGCCTGCCTTCCAGCCCTTTGTGTTTTCTGGTTTGGTTTTTCTCAGTGAGACTGATGTGCGACACCCTGTGCCTATCCTGTGGGATAGTACAAGGCATTGATTTGTGTGTGATGGCTGTTCCTTTACACAATGTATTCCTAAATACCCCTGACTTCTCTGGTTTTGTACGTGTTGTGGTCCAGACTCGCCTACCCGTTCCAGGTATTTAATTTATTCTAGGGAATGACATCTCGGGGAAAGAGTTGTTCCTCTGCCCGAAGTTGTTCGCGAACCAATTGCTGTGGAACATCCCAAGGTGTTTTCGGCCTGTGTGCTCACCCGTGCCCAAAGGCGTAAATTTGTGGACATATGTCCAACTCTCCTTCAGATACCCCTTCGTTGTGTAATCTCGATACCCCTGTTGCTTGTCCCATTGTTGACTCCCCTGAGGTTCCCTCCACAAGGGAAGCCTTGGTTAAGGCTCAGGGAGCGGACCCCTCCTTGGAGTCCTGTCGTGCCGCTTTGATAAGAAGTCCGACTTGAAGAATCACCCCACTGCCTACTTCTTCCACGATCGTGCGTTAATGCGTAAGTGGACCTCTCCGGATTCACCTTTTGACTGATCTTCCGTCTATCAGATAGTAGTCCCCAGTGTATACCGATTCTATGTGTTGTCTCTCGCCCACAATCACCCATGTGCAGGACATCTAGGCATTAGAAAAACGTTATCCCATCTTTTGAGTCATTTTGTTTCGCCTGGTATTAATTCGGATACCAAACGGTATTGTAAGTCCTGTCATAGCTGCCAGGTAGTAGGAAAGCCAAACCAAGTTTGAGCGCATCCCATCCCATCGATTGGTGAACCCTTTGAACACGTATTGATAGACTGTGTCGGTCCTTTACCGAAAACTCGTTCAGGCAATTATTTGTTTACCTTGATGTGTACTGCGACGCCAGTCCCATCCATAGTCTTAAATCCC